TAATAATAATAATAATAATAATAATAATTAGGGATGCACCGATACCAGTTTTTCAGTATTGAGTACCGATATTTTGCTTTCGGTACTCGCCGACACCGAGTACCGATACCGGTGCTTCCACTGGCATGGAGCCGGCTTCCCGGGCAAACAGGAAGCCGGGCAGCATGTATATAAAGTCCAATATGTCCCCCTGCAATCCTTGCAGCGTCTCCGGCCAAAATCACAATAATGGTGCTTGTAGAGATACTCACGGATGGCGCCGTGCACATCAAACAGCAAATGAATAGGAATCACCAGCACAAGATGCGTTACATTGTTGCCCTGATGAAGGGCCCCAACGTGGCCCCTAAATGTCGCTTAAAGTTATTGCAACATGTATGACGATCTGTCCGATTAAATGGACTTTATCATTTGAAATCTTTTACTGAGTGCTGGTGATTCCTATTCATGGGCAGCATGTAATGACATGCTGCCCAGCTTTCTGACTGCCCGGGAAAGCTGGCTGCATGTTGTTTGGCTTCCCAGCCAATCAGCATCGAGCCAGCTTCCCGCTCGATCAGGAAGCCAGGCAAATAATGACCCGCCTCCCTGATTGGCCGGAAAGCCGGCTTCCCAGCCAATCAGCATCAAGCCGGCTGTTCAGCCAAATCAGCTTGGAGCCACTGACCAGAAGTTCCGGTATCGGGTATGTATTGGAGCATTTGGGCGAGTAGCAATAATAATAATAAATAGAGTGCATCTCTGCAATCTCGTAGGGGGACAATATATTCCCCTTTTTTATCCATGGAAGAACAGAAATATATCTGTTGATCTGCCAGAAAGGCACTGAAGTCTTAAACCCCGTTGTGGGCTGACAACACACAGCATTTGTGTGGACTACATGGTGTCAGCCCTGTCCGGTGTTGTTTGATGGACTATTCGACCATTCCCACTTTCAGAACTCTACAGCACAGATGCTTTTCATTCTGTCAGCAAAGATAAGAACTGGGAGGGTCCTTTGGAAAACACAGTTCAGAATAACAATATAATAAACTAGAACTATGAGGTGAGTGAAAATCACTCACCTCATAGTTCTCCTTTAAACAGACCAAAAAGGGTGCAATAAGAGAAGTTCATTAGAGCTCCAAACACTCACCACTCAATTCTAACTTAAGCTGCAGTCAGTCCACACTCAGGGTGCAGGCTATAGTGCGCTTCCCACTTGTTCAAACCAGTATCCAAAAGATTAGCTGCACAAAGCCAGAGTAGATACAATCCAAAATGTATTGAAATTGTCTAAACAGGTTTCAAAAAATAAATCCAAAAGAGTAGTAAGCATTGTGTACATCACCATGAACATCTTCCACACCACCACCTAGATTAAGGCCAGGTGGTGAAGCGCATAAGCGTTGGCGTGGTGTGGGAGATGTTTATGGCGATGTACACATTGCTTACTACTCTCTTGGATTTATTTTTTGAAACTTGTTTGGACAATTTCAATAAATTATGGATTGTATCTACTCTGGCTTTGTGCACATAATCTTTTGGATACGGAAGAGAAGTTTATAGTTAGGGTTACATACACTTTAAACAGGGACACATTACTATATCCTTGTTGGATAGATTTCCCATATAGCGGATTTCTGCTCTAGTAACACCAATGACAGAAAGTGAGGAGATATCTCCACAAAAGGAATACAGATATCATCTATAGCTATAATCTCTCCTAACCCAAAAGAGATCTAAAACTTAAAAGGGACCACAGAGTACTATTGTTATTTGTAAGCTTGACACAGTCCATCTTCAATTCATAAGAAGAAAAATACGAGAGCTATATAAAGTCATTCAAGGATCACCAGTATTGATTTACTGCAAGTGTGTGACAGATAAAATAATCAGGGAAATGTTTCTTTAAACTCTAGGGAAAAGAAAAAGGAACAATGTTACTCGGCTTGAGTTGCCCAGACCCTAATAAATCAGAGAAAACTAAGGAAAGGGGGACTCAGCTGCACTACATGATACTGCATGGAAACCCAAATCCTGCAACATTAGTACCTTAATCTCTCATTAACAAAAGGAGATCAGGTAAATTCACGGGTAACCTAGACATCTTTAATTTGCTATCCGCTGGAACAATAAACCATACATGGCAGACAAAAAAAAATAAGTAATGAAAATTTGCACTTGATGTAGTATTACAAATATGACAAAATCAATTAACTTACCTGTAATTCTAGGTTTCCTAACACTTGGGCAGCACAGCATTGGTGGTACTTAACCTCAATGTAAGTGAAACACTGCAAGATTTGGAGTTTCTGCGCAGAGCTGCCTCGTGGGTTATATACTCACTCAGATGTAAGCTACCAGTGGTAACAGTTGCTTGGGCTTGTGCTTGTCCTGGTGGACATTTTGGAGAAGACAATGTCCTAACTGAATGATGCCAATGTAGGTTTCTGGCCTATATGGTGATTTTCAGGCACTGCAAACATTGTATCTATGGTACACCACTGAACAAGGTTTGGGAACACTGATCTAAGTAAATTATCAATTAAGCAGAAATAATATTTTGCAGCCTATTTACAGTTTCACATGCAACTTTCTTAATAATATTCTAAGTTTAGCAAAATGCAATCTGGTCAGTTGCTACATTTTACTTTCTCTACTTTCCTACAAATCTGATAGTCATGGCAGAGGTTTGAAGAAACATCTAACATTCCTATCTAGAAGTTCTTTTCAGGAACACCGAGGTCAACCAGCAATTGTATACAACCTAGCCAAGTTAAATGCACTCTACTATAATGCATGTGTTTATGCCTTTTGATATATCCCAAGTTGCACATACAAGTTGTAATAGGGGCATGCTTGACCGGTATTGGCAGCAGTAAACCATGCACAGAATAGGAACACCCAGGAGCAGTCCAAGCTGGTTTGCCCTGCACTTTATTCAGCAAGGAAGCAAACAAACACAATCTTCAGCGCAAGAGGCTTTACAAAGCAAGGCCATAGCCTAAAGCAAACAAAACATCTGCTCATCTGAGACACTAAACTCAGGTCAGCTCCTGAGTAACAGGGTGCCCCCTAATGGGTTTCCCAAAACAAACAGGCACCCCTTGTACCTTTTTAGTGTTCTGTCAGCACTTAGCCTTTTCACCCAGCAGCAGGCTCACTCCAGAGAGAGTGAGAGAGAAAGAGAAGAGACCTGTATCAGTCAGCTCACATACACTGTATATAGAAGTCTGTGAATAGCTGAGCCTAATAATGAGGTCTGGCTACCAGGTAAGACGTGCACCTAGGAATGGAGGCCTATTCCCACCAAAGCCTCCAGGCTCCGGGACCCAGAACAGAACTTTCTAGGAGTCAAAGAAAACAAAGTATATTTTCTCCACATGAACCATAAACCCTGGAGCCCCTCAACATGTAAGAAACCTACGCGACACGTGTATACCATATACAATACCTGCCAGCACCTCACTTTACAGTGTGTGTGTGGATAGATAGATAGATAGATAGACATACATACACTGTATATATAATTTTTTTGAAGATGTAACCAACTTATATTTATTGGAACTGTAAATTACTGCCTCACACAAAAAGCAAAAAAAAAAAAACATACCTCATGTACATGAAAAACTTTAGCGCCAACATAAATACCCATTCGAGTAACAGCACGAACTGCAGCATTCATTCCTGCAAAATAAAATGATAATGATGATTGAGTTGAAACTTTACTATTGACTGTCTTTTCTGATGTGTGAGATTTACTGTACATATGCCTCTGGATTCTAATATCCTGAAACCCAACCATTACAAAACATTTAGATAATGTTTGGAGCAAACAAATATTTGTATGCTTTGGGAAGGACTGAAAATGTAGATGTACCAAAAATAAAGAGCGGTCTGAGGCACAAAGATTTACATCTTGCAATAGTGAGACAAAAGGACAGAAGGTGGTCACTCCCTCATGAGATGAGGCTCTTATTACTGCCTAGGAGGCATTAATTAGGAGTGATGGGTTATCACTAACAAACAAAAAAGTGTTAAAGTGGAACATCTGCCATGCAATTTTAATGCTTGCCAGGGGGGACCCCAACTGCCAGGGTTCCACATTTGTTTGGTATCACATCACAGCTGTAGACTTACAGGGTTATTCACAAAATGGTGAAGAGTTTGGAGAAGGCAGGAGGAGAAGTGAAAAATCTAGGACAACATACTGTAGCTCAACAGGAAAGTGAGCTGAATTGGAGAATTTTTCCAAATCAGCTATGTTGTCCTAGATTGTTCACTTCTCCTGCCTTCTCCAAACTCTTCACCATTTTGTGAATAGACCTGTCAATCGTTGCATGTAATGTTGAAGCTATGCTAAGCAAATCACATCAAAAGCTTCTTCCAGCAGTCCACTGGAGACTATTTGCTGCTGCCTCTGGGTATGGGAGAGCATGTAACCTCCCCCCGTGATGCAATGCTGGTGCCTGGCAGCCAATCATTAGGCTTAAACACTGTCACACACCAGAGGGAATGGCGCTATCAACAGCATCTAGTAGGTCCATTTTGCTGCTGTCAATTCTGTCGGATTCTATAGTCAATAGGAGGCTGGCCATTGGCTACACCATACTCCCACTGTCTGCGTCAATCAGTAGCACAGAGGACGTAAAGGGGAACTAGGCTCCCAGAGTTCCACATCGGGCTCAATGTCCACATCACTGGTTGTTAGGGAGCGTCCTAAACCAGTGATGCGACGAGTAGCATGATGTCAGCCAGCGTCCCTGGCCCCTTTGTTGACATTCAGCTGCCAGCAGGGGAAATCTCCCGGTTAGCAGCTGAATAGGGGCAGGGATACATAATTGGTTGCTAGGACACCGGCAGCCTGGTGTCCTAGTAACCAATGAGCTGGAAGTTGTCAGATTAATGACAGTTTCCCGTACCTATGTGCTCCTCTCTCAGCACGGGTGTCCCTCTATATGCCAGATCAGAGTTGGTTAATCTGTAAACTGTCAGTAATTCTCTTTGAATCTGTTGCAGCCATAGCAGCACATTCTTAAAATGGCACAATTAAGAACTACCTGAATTTTGAATGATAATTAATAATTTGGCGCAGGAGGAGATGGTTGTTAGGCTTACAATGACAATAAAAACGTGTTTTTCAGGGGCTCATATTGAACCTTTGGGGCCAAAAGAGCACACTTCTGTCCATAAAGAAGCCTGTACTATTTCCAGCTTCTAGTGATGCAATTCTCAGGTTGAAACTAATGGAATACTTTGTGTTGAGGGTTGTTGTGTTGAGCATTGCTCAGGTGTAAATGGGGGGTGCTAAGGACCCATTTACACTGTTGAGTTTTGATGCATGCATAGGCAATGTACCAAGGAATTGGCTACCATACGTTTTGGTGCGATACTGCGTACATAGGAGCACATGGTGCTGTGAGGTTTGTTGGTGGTGCCATTAACAATGAATGGCACCTCAGCACATTACAGAGTGACAAGCGCTTTGGTGCTGCAGCAGTGTGCACATTATTGCATGCATTGCGGCAGCGCACAGATAGGAACTGTACGTGTAAACAGACCCAAAATCCATGGAGCAGCAAGGTGCGCTGAGTGGCATTACAAAATGACAAGCGTTTGGGTGCTGCAGGGCACAGATGTGAATTGGGGCTATCGTAAACATAGTGCAAACGCACATCAAAAAGTATATCAAAGTCTATGGAAAGTGCATCTTGACATGCAAGAACACAGCTGTTTAAGCATTGTTCTTGCTCGCATGGCTGCAACAGTGACACATTAATCCAAAAAATGTTTGGGGGGGACTGAAATAAATGATTACATTGCTGAAGGACTCAAATGACACATGAACTGAGCATTGTACAAATGCCTTGACACACATGTGCAGTGACATCTCCCCCATGTGATCACACTTCTCCCCCCCATGTGATCCTACGTCTCACCCTCCGCCATCCTCCCCCATCTAATAACACACACAGCTGACTCAAGGCCGAGCTGAGCTCAACCATTCTACACATAAGCAGATTTCCACTGACCTTGTGCATCTCCCCCGCTGGTCAGCACAGCGATGGCCTTCCCCGACCCCGACATGCGGAGACTCTCCATGTCCGGTGCAGACATTTCTCTTCTTCTCTCCCCCCAATACAGAGCTATGAGCGGAGATCGCCCCGGTCTGTGTGCGGAGTCTATGGAGGAATGTGCGTGGTATACGTGCGAGCGAGCGACCTTCAACCCCTCCTCATATTCAGACCGCGACTGTGGGAGTGTACACAGCACAATGCAATCCACTATACGAGTGCTGGAGAGGGCTCAGCGACCATCACATAGCGCCGACACTGGAGGAGAGGTGTACAACAGGAGGAGGGATGCACTATAATACATCCTCACTGCCAGAGTCATGTATAATAATATATAACATCTGGAGGAGTCATGCATAATAATATATAACATCTGGAGGAGTGATGTATAACAATATATAACAGCGGAGGAGTGATGTATAATAATATATAACAGCGGAGGAGTGATGTATAATAATATATAACAGCGGAGGAGTGATGTATAATAATATATAACATCTGGAGGAGTGATGTATAAAAATATATAACATCTGGAGGAGTGATGTATAATAATATATAACAGTGGAGGAGTGATGCATAATAATATATAAAATCTGGAGGAGTGATGCATAATAATATATAACATCTGGAGGAGTCATGTATAATAATATATAACATCTGGAGGAGTGATGTATAATAATTAGAGTGCACCGAAATGAAAATTTCAAAACCGACATGGAAAAAAAAATGTCAGACTGAAACCGAAAATGTTTTTTTATTCTAACTTTTTCAAATTTTTTTAAAATGTTCTATTTTTTAGAAACTTTTAATTTTTTTTATATTTTATTTTTATTTATTCATTTTTATTAAATATTTCTATTTTTTACTTTAATTTTAGAGGCTTCGGGGAAATATTGGGGATCTAAACAGACCCCTGATATTTCCCTTTTAAAATAGAAAAACAGATTGAGATCAAGATCAGGGTCCTCAATCTCTTTTTCTACAGACCCAGTTATAAATGAACAGGAATCCTCTATGAGTGTTCCTGTTCATTCATAACATGAGGACAGAATACGTTTACTATAACCACAATCATGAATGAACAGGAAGTGATGTAGATCACTTCCCATTCATTCATAATTGAGGACATAGTAACCATACTCTGTCCTCAATTATTTACAAACACTAAGTGATTGCTGAGTGATTGTACCCACTCTGTATCCTGACATGCTGAGCGAGCAGTGCGGGGAGGATAGCTCAACCTCCAGTGACAGCGCTGGCTGTCTCCGCCCCCTGTCAGGGCTGAGATAATGGGCCGGGTGTGGAACCCCTTTGCAGGGACAAAATATGTCCAAAAGCGCGGTACACAGGGGTAATCCAAATCGAGTAGTTAAAGTGACATTAAACCCTCAGATTTTTTTAACATGAACCAATACTGTAATGTGTGCCTTACTGTAATCCATGGTTGTTTCCCTTCTCTTTGCTGCTCTTCCTTTTAAATCCTGATGTCTTCTCATGCTGGGGGAGCAGGCAGCAAGAATCGTAGTCGAGGGGTCAAGCGAAAGGCTCGGTAGCCGGGAAGTCAGATCAAATAACAGGTTCACAGGAGGGAGCTGGGTGTTCACCATGAGGAAGAATAACTCAGCAATGAGTCAAGGCTCTGACCAGCTTTATATACACAGGGAACCCAGGACCGCCCACTGGCTGCCAGGGCAACCAGGAAGCTTCCCCAGTCAGGAGCCAAGGCCGAGGGCAGTTGGTGAGGCTGAAGTCCTCCCCCAGCCTGAGTAGCACCTGGGATGTGGGATGGTGCAGGCGCACTATGCTCGCGCTTCCGGGCATGCCTGTGCCCGATGCCCGCGCCGGCGAGCCTGGTGAGGAACGGCCCCCCTGGGTCCCTGACACCCCCACACCGCTCTGCCGATCTGTGACAGGAGGCTGAGCAGTGCAAGGAGGAGAGACGCCAGCCACTCACAGCGCTCTCCTCCCGCAGCGCTGTGACAGTTTATTTCCTTCCTGGTGGGACACAGAGCAGCGCCCAGCAAGGAGGAGAGAAATCACGAATGCAGAGCTGTTTCATCAAAGAAATTGTACTTTTGGCATTTTGCCAAAAGTGCAATTTTCGGCCGATATGTTTTATGTATATCGGTGCATCCCTAATAATAATATACAACATCTGGAGGAGTGATGTATAATAATATCTGCCACCTACACAAAGCATTTATGTGGAAAACAAATGGCCCTGCAGCTAAAGGATTTAGGAACAATGGCTTGCATTTAGGGATGCATTTCGGGCAAAAATGCTGATAGTACCCAAATGGCCAAAAACGCAGTGCATCCCCAGCTTCTCTCCTCCCTGCTGGGCACCTGTCTGTGTCCCCTCCAATCCCTGCTACTCTCTCCCACCTGTATTGGCAGAGGAAGCAGGGATCTGAGGGGACACAGAGCCGATCCAACTGCTAGCAGCCAGTGGGGAGGAGACAAGCTGGTAGGAGGCCAAACAGGGCAATGAATGGAGGAGACAGCTGTCAGAAGAGGCTGAGCTCTCCGCCCACAACGCCCTGCTTGGCCTCCTGTGACAGGAGGAGCAGTCCGGATGGATAGCGGAGTATAAACACTCAGCGATCAGTACTGATGTTGTTCAGTACTGATCACTGAGTGTTTGTAAATAAGGACATAGTAGGGCTCATTGTGTCCCCAGTTATGAAGGAACAGGAAGTGCTAGTAACTGATACTATCACTTCAGTTTATGAATGTGTGGCTCTGCACTGTCAGCTGATAGTGGGCATAAACCCAGTATTGGCTGACTTTTGGTCACAGGGGCACATTAACAAATGTACTTCTTTGACCCGATATAGATGTAAAGCAAAAATTGAAAAAAATGTTTGCTTTACTTCTCTTTTAACCCCTTAAGGACAGAGGCCTTTTTTTTGTTTGCATGATATAATCTACATTTTAAGCCTGAAAATTACTTAATACCCTGAAACATTGTATATTTTCTTGAAAGCCAAGACCCTGTACAGTAAAATAATGGCCGTTGCAAATTTTTATGTTGCATGACATTAACGCAACTTATTATCAAACCCAAAAAATATAGTGAAAAATGAGCGGTGGCCACTTTACCGGATCGTAGAAATGTTCTGGCGGCAGCTGAGCCACCAGAATCGCTTCTAATGTAAAGCTCTACAAATATGAACAGAGTCCCGGCGGCTTGTCTGCTTAAACCCCTTAAGGACCCATGGCGCAATTATCCCGTCATGGGTCGTTAAGGGGTTAAAAGTTCTTTTAAAGTGACACTAAACTCAGGAGTTAAATCTTAAAAATGCATTAAAGTACTGGATCTAGTAACAAAAATGTCTCTTATTTGTGTATCACTCATCTGTACATCCTCAAATCATCTCTGAATTGGTGCTTACACTGTCCTTCCTTCTGGAGTCTCCCATGGTCTGTGTGTGTGTGTGTTGTAAAGTAACATACAGATTTATCTTGCTGCACTCCTTGCCGGTTTGTTACTATAACCTGTGTGATCCAGGTGGGTGCTTGTAATGACCACGGATGGCACTGTGAAGTAACATCAAATTCAAGAACGTCATCAGCACACCAATGTAACGTGTCATCAAAATGCAAGCGCTTTCGGGGCCTCGCAGGGTGCGCACCGCTGTCCCGGCTGTTAGCTGTGCGTGCCCTTCTCATCCATATGCTGACATTATGTAAGTTTCTTTTGAATTTTTATGGCGGGAAAATTTACCACAGGATGTGGGGTAGGGGTAGAAGGTTCCTCCTTTTTCACATGTGTTTATGTCTATTTAAAATGGTGGTGTTGGTGCAATGTTTTGTCATTTTGAGCCTAATGAAGGGGACCCTACAAGGCCACAAAAGCGCTTGCATTTGGATTACAATTTTGTGTCATTAAGGTGACGTTCTTGAATTTGTGTTGTAAAGTAGCCACCGCTCCAAGCTCACTCCCGTAATGGACTACAATCTCATGTTTAGTTTACTAATTTGTATTGATATTGTAGTCCATCATTGCAGTGAACTTGGAGCGGTGGCTACTTTACAACACACACAGGGATCATTGGGAACAAAAGTAGCCACCCTCCAGAAGGAAGGACAGTGCCAGCACCAATTCAGAGATGATTTGAGGATCTACAGCCGAGTGATACACAAATACGATATAGTTTTGTTAATAGTTCAGGTACTTGAATATATTTTTAGGATTTAACTCCTGAGTTTAGTGTCACTTTAATTTGCTTTTTTTCACGTTGACTTTCATGAGGAAAATGCAGTTCATTTGCAGCAAGATCAGATGTTCTGCTTTTACAGAAATAAAGCAATAACTAGCAAACATATTCATAAACACAAGAGAATACTGCTCTGTATGATCAAAATCAAAATTCAAACATGGTGTTTCAGATCCTTCCAAGTGACTTCACAGTTGCATGTAAGGAGAAAAATAAAACTGACAGCACAACCCCTTTATCTGAGGAAGATGAACTGTTCCTCACCTCATTCTTAGCCCAGGTTTACAATGTTGCACTACAGTAATGCGGTGCCATTCACATGCATCAAGGCAACACCTCTGCACTGCAGCTCTCCACCTCAGACACCTGGAAGTGTATTGCATTACTAACAAAGGGCCAGATGTGTTTTTTGCTGTGATTAGGTGTGTTGGCAGCCCATTCAAAATAAATGGACTGCCTTAACACAACGTGAGATAATCTGCACGTGTTAATGCACCGAACAAGTGTGAACCAGGTCTAAAGCATTGACATGGTCTAAATTCATGTCTGCTAACATGTGTTGACTTTTTTTTATAACATGTTGCATTGAATTGTTGTGCATTTTTTTCACAGCAGGAGCCAGAACACCTTACTTTTTAACTTCATGTGGATTGCAACCTATTGCGACATATTCCGTTTTTGCTTAGCACACACCAATGCAGTGCCTATTAGAAACAATGGATTTTAACTAGGGATGCACCAAAACTTCGGCTGCCGAAACATATCAGCCGAAAATGGTATTTTTGGCAAAAAGCCAAAAGTGCCATCTTTCAGCTGAAATAGCGGTGTATGCCTAGTTTCATCCCTTCCCGCTGGGCGCTGCTCTGTGTCCCCTCTGACACA